ATATTGGGAGACTTACCACTAACTGCAACTGTAACCGCACTGGAAACAGGCCGAAAATAACTCTTACGAAGGCCCAGAGGCAACTTCAAGCACTCGAAGAAATTCCAAAATAAAATCTGGAAGCGAAAAAACCTTAATAAAATCCAAAATCTAACAAATCTTAACAGAAATAATCACAAATTCCTTAGCATTCTCCACAGTGTATCGAAACAAGGCCGTTGCGTGCCAGTTAAGAGCCCAAAATCAAGGGGTTAATGCATATGCCACACACTCGCTCTCGCCTGGCCATCGAAAATTATCTATGACTGGGACTTGGGCCCAGCCCATCGCATTACTAAATGCTCTGCAGCTTGGAATACCAAAAATGTTCCCAAACATTTCGATGGCCCAATGCTAATTATGGCCAGTAAATTAGCTGGCGCGACCTTCGGTATCAAAGAGTTGGAACTTGGGTTTTCTCGATAATAAGTCACAGTGTGTCGGTTTTTGATTGATTAATTCAAATCGAACTGGGCCATGAATTGAATTTTTAATGGCTCCATAATTTGGCAGCAATTAAATGGACAGAGGGCTATACTTAACGACATCTAGGTAGGTATCTGAGGGGTTCTTTAGTTGTATAAAGCAGAAGGAAGTTTGATTTAAAAGTTAATGATTACTAACCCAAGTTCATAAATGTATGTAAAATTTAGTAAAATATTCCTTTTTAATCCTAGTTTAACTGTTATACTATATAGTAAGTAATTAGTCAACGAAAGGGCATTCCTGATTCTGCTTTCCGATCCCTACATACAATACTTGTCCGCTCCTCCACCACATTTCTTTGTTAAATTTCTGTGGGCCCCAGCTCAATCAAGTTGACACCAACACATGTCGGTCGCTAAGTGTTGGCCCCCGCCCCCACTGGTGGGCGGTGGAAAAGCGGAACCCTCTATTAATAGAGCATTAATTGATGATTATGTCGGTGGAAAGCGTCGTTGACAAACTACGTATCTGATGGATACTCTCTTGCAGTTGTACGCCACTGAATGCTGCCATTAATCAAACGCGGCTGCTGATTTTCGAAGAGCTTTGCTGCGGTTAAATATTTTGAGCGGCAACATATGTTGCCGGTGTCATAAAGCCCAATGATTTGTCGAGTGCTTTTGGCTGAAACTGCATATGTATGTGTGCTGCGTATCTGTGTGAGCCTGGCCGCAGCGACAGGCCTTGCAACATGCTCAACTCTCAACTATTTACCACCGAAAAATTGCAGCGCAGTTGCAGTACAGCCACTACTTTTACACATAAAGAAAAAGGGGATTTAAGTGATACATTTTCTAGGGATTTTAAACACACAATTAACCAAGTATATAGCCAAGCTCCCACATTTGTAAAGTAAACATATCTTAGATATATTTACATTTTAAAGCATATCCCATTTAATTTCCCCTCAGTGCAGTGTCTTGGGCTCAAAGTCGGGCCTGCATCCGATAGATACTCACAACCGCAAACAAGCTGCAGCTCCGCTGAGCCAGCTGCCAGATAGTCGTTGCCCGGATAACTGGATAACTCCAGAGCCCGGGGCGTGGCAACAACATCAGCATCAGCAGCGGCAGCAGCATCGGCATCATTGTGCGTTTTGGGTTCTGCGTTCTGCGGTTTCGGTCTCGGTTTTCTGGCTCTCGTTTTGGGTACGGATTTTGCGTAAAAGTTTTCGAAACATTCGCCGAACTATGGCAAGCATTTTCGTATTCAAAAACTACAAGAGTACTTGCAGCCGGCTGTCAGCATTCATCCGGCGAACATATATATAGATAAATGCTGGCACTTGGCTAGAATTGCGGGAGATAGCTATAGCTATGGCTGTTGCCAAAGTTTCGCCAACAACTTTATGGGTATTTATTGATTTTGCGCATAGTTGGGAGCGAGTTGGTTGATTGATGGTTGCATAGTTGCCGTAGAATTTTGACTGAGTGGATTCACGAGATTTTGCATTTCGGCGGTCAGCGATCAAAATGATGTAGTGACTGGGGAGGGGCCTGGTCAGTGGGGGAAGTTGGCTTAACTGCAGTCCCAGCTAATGGCCGGCTCTGTTCCAAATATCAATCCGGCAAAGGCTACTTGGTAAGTGGCGGCTTTCCCCGGAATTGGCCTGGCCTAATGCCACTGCAGCAGCAGCAGCAGCAGCTGGAATGAGTGCCTCTGCCCCCGGCAATTACCGGCAACACATGCATTACGCTGCCACCTTCGCATATTGGCCCGGTAAGTACTCCTACTTGGCCAAAACTTTCCCCGAAACAGCGTCCGGGTAAAAGTGAGGCTGCCGGCATTTTGTATTGGCCAAAAGTCCCTCGTCGTGGCGGGGGCAGCCAAACATTTGCCGAGACACGACTGCAAATTAACACGTAAATTGCAGCGGGTTAACACGCGTTCGAGAGCAGTTGGAAAGTGTTGCCAATCCAAATGCCCTGTCTCCGTTTCAGTTTTGTTTTTTCGCATTTGCCGCTGCAGAGAGAAAATTAGCTTTGTGGGCAATAAAATTGAAACCTATTCAAAAAGAAGCTATATACATAAAAATATCTTGTGTCTACCCGATATGAGGTAAGAATGAAAACATTTTAGAGTTATTTGAAGCATGAAGAATATTTATACAAAAAAAAAAAAAAAACTTGAACATAAGTGTGCTTAGTACCAATTTGTAAGTCAAGTTTTTTTTCCTTTTACTTAACTCTATGTTTTGACCCTCTTTTAGCTGCTTGTTTTTTCTGTGTGTGTGTCGCTGTCTTAGCCTCGTTAAAGGCTGCTCGCTTGGCCGCCTGACTAGCGGGCCTTGTTACAATTAATTGCATATGCCGGGGAACATTTTTGCATACCGGCAACATGTTGCAGTTAACAATAAATTAGCGTTTAAAATGCAATGGCGGAGCACCATCTTGGGGCCCGGCTCGTTAGCCCTGTAAGATCACGCAGGCGACGTCGGGCGATCAATCAAGAGCTGTAATGCCTGCCCATCGCTACACGATAGTTTAGCTGAATTGCGCAATTAATTAGTTTCGTGTTAATGAGCAATGCGCATCGCATCGCATCGCATCGTATCGCATCATCCCGTGGTCATAACAGCGCTCCAGACACTCAGCTCCGCACCCGATGCGACCAGGAATTTTTTAATGGCCTTCCGCGACCAGGCACAGAGCAAACTAGAAATTTATGGCCATCGGACAGGCTCTGCAATGAAGACTCACTTAAAGTTTATGAAAGCCAAAGGGATCCTACGCTCAAAGTCAACGATTTGTGGCTACAAAAACTAAAAAAAAAAATGCGCTAACTACAGCAAACTTTTAGCTTCTGTGGCAAGTTACACCGAGTTTGGAGGCAGTGAAAAGAAAAATCTACATTTTCAGGTTTAAAATTGTTACTTGTTTTAATTTATTTTAATTTAAATTATACAAATTTCATTGAAGTGATATTTAAAGATGTATCTTTACATTTTTATATGAATTTAAATGATAATAAAAATATTATTTGTATCTTTGAAATATCAAAATATCACATCAAGCTATCATACCTTACCATTTGACTTTCAGTTTGTAAAAATATGATGTTTACCTTATTATAAGTTTATTTTCAAATAATTCAACTAATATCTCTCCGTGTAAAAGGCAACCAGTGATTTCTGCCTTGACTTTTGGGTTTTCAGGTTTCCAAGTCATTAGAGGCAGAAAAAGCAACATTTTATTTTATTTCATTTCAGTTTTTGTGGCTGGCGTTATCAAACACACATCGGATCAAATAAAACACAATGTGGGAGAGACCTCGCATCGGCATTTACCCCTTTTTATTGTTATTCCTTGATAGGCTTCGAAGGCCCCGCCGTGATGTCAAAAGTTATGAGCAAACAATTTTCTGCTTAAAAGCGTCTGTCACAAAACTTTCGAGCGCCCCGTGTCAAGCCAAACAAATCCCGTATTGTGCCGCCCATGTCAGGCAATACTTTTCACAATTTGTCTGCAATTACGACAGCCGGAAAAGTTACGGGCAGAGGGGGGGTTAGAAGAGGAGTTCGGAGGGACTCTACAGGAAAATGAAATTCCTACGTGATTTGGTTTTAACGAGATTTGTCCCCGGCAGCAACTATCGACAATGCAAATACGACGTATCGTATTCTGTAATTTACTATGCCAAATGTTGTCCATTGTGGGGCGTGGCCCCGCCCCCATTATTTGCCACACACACACACACATACACAGCTATACAATACAATGCGAAATATCGTGTGTCAGAAATCCGGAATTGATTCGGTCCTTGGGTCCCCCGACGATCCTTCGAAAATGTTTTTGTTGGCGGTGCGTGTTGGATAATGTTTCGCATAGTTTTGCAGCTGAAGTGGTTCGATTCGGTTCGATCCTGGGCCCCTCCCCTCGAGTCCTGCCCGGGTCCTGTCAGAATACAGTTGCCAAGTGGCGACAAAGCAAACAGTTTACATTTTCAAAGGACCCTCTCGCCCGCCTGCAAGCTGACCGTTTTCGCTTTATAATTTGACAATCAATTGACAGTTCGTTGGCAAACAGAAACAGAAAAAACAAAATGCAAACACGCACTCACAGAACGCAGAAATATGCAACAAAGCCCTCGACTCGACAATAAAAATATAGAATAAAATATCGAATAACTTGTCGTAAACTATTCGAGAGCAAATTGCGTTGGCCAGCTTGGGTTTCCCAGGACATTAGTTGAGTGCCGGAGAGCGCTGTGATTGTGTGGCCAGCTGGGGTTTCCAGTGCAGCCTTTGAGCTGTCATTCAGCCAGGACCTATTACGTTTTCCTTGTACGCATTTAATTTTATATCTAACCATTAATTACGGATTGTACAATTGCAGCAACATGATGGGTTTTCCAGGAAGTCACAAGAACTTTGAATTCTTGCTTTGGGTTACATTTACCACTAATTGATCCTGCCTACATTTGAAATCTAACTTGATTAAAATATTGAAACTTTTGAAATGTATTATGATATGTAGTTAGGCCATTTTCAAGTTTATTTAATCACATAAAATACAACAATATATCCAATTTCTACTTAAACATTCTCAGCTCTCTGGAAAGTACTTGCAATTTAGTTACTTCTTCTGCTTAAACCTCATGCCAATGATTTCGAGGATGTCCTCCTTGGTCAGCTTATCATCTTTTTCCTCCGGCTTTTGGGGGGCCAGAGGTGGCTTGGCGGGCGCCGGTGTGGGAGTGGGCTTGCTGGGCAGAACAGGAGCCTTGGGAAGAGGCGCAGCTACCGGGGCAGCCCCGGTATTTTCTGCATGCTTTGTCTTAATGGTGATCTGGACCTCGGGCTTGGCCTTGGGTTTGCCTGCCAGCACCCACACTAGAGGAGGCTTTTTTGCCTCATCTGACTCTCGTGACTCGCTTTCCGAGGATTTAGGTTTTACCCAGCAGCGGTAGGTGGCCTGAGAGATGCCGTAGGGCGGCGGCTTGGAGAGCAGGTCCTCGCTCTCCGACTCTTCCACCTTTGGCTCCGGCTCCGGCTGGGGCTCCTCCTGGACCAGCTGCTTGTCCTTGAAGTCCATCAGGTAGGTGAAGAGATGGGGGTATGCCCGCTGTTTTATTTCACACGTGCAGCGGCACTCTTCTTCCTCCTCCTCCTCAACCTCATCCAACGCCCTGAGCAGCTCATCCCTGGCCCGCTGCCGAGCTATCCTTTCGCGACTGCTGCCCCGGAAGGGTCCCACCCAGCAGAAGTCCGTGTCGTGGTCCTCGAGTCCGCTCTTCGACAGCTTCTCGCCCAGGTGCTCCTCCTCGAAGGCGTCGTCGAAGACCGGGCGACATGTGCACACCTCGCAGGTGCAGGTGCACTCAGAATCGCAGGGCAGATCATCCGTGGGACACGGTGGACACAAGTCCTCCATGGGCGGATAAGGAACGCAGTGCTCGTGGAACTGTTCCTCCTCACCTTCGCAGGCCAGCCAGCGGCAGATGAACGGGCCCTGGCTGCACTCTGCCGTGATCTCCGGGGACTCCCGTGACTCGCCGTTCTCCTGCCAGCAGCGGAGCTTGGGGCAGTTGCACCGCGGCGCGTCGAAAAAGCTGAGGGGACTCGTCACCACTGGAGTCTGCTTGTTGGACAGCGTTTGGTTGCCCTTTTTCAGGCCATGATTGTGCCGCGAGGAAACGGAGCTCACCGCTGATTGGTTAGCTGTCGGAGGAGCTATCCGTACGGAGGTCCCCGAGGGAGCGCTGCTCACGATCCTGTTCTCCTTGTGGTAGAGTATCTCCACCTCGGCGCTGTAGAAGGAGTCGGCCTGCGAGGTGGCCTTCCCCAACACGGCCCGTGAAGGTGTCGCCGACGGATGGCCGCAGCTGCAGACCAAGTCGTTCTCCCAGAAGATGCGCGTCCTCAAGACATCGACGAGAGTTTTGTAGACGCACTCAATCCGCTCCTCGAACAGCCGCTTCTCGGAGTCCATCAGTCCGATCAGCACAGCGTGAATCTCAGCCGTACGACGGGCAGCGTGACGCCACATGCACTCCTCTCCATGATGCAGTTTCGACTGCAGGCAGGCGAAGCGCCGCCCCTCCACGCCCGTGCCGTAATAGAAGGCCTGCGGAAAGGGGATCCTTAGATCTGGGTGGGTTTTTTCCTCTGGGAAACCTACCTTGAAGGCCCGCTTCACGATCGCGTAGGCCATTTGGGCATCCATGCGCGACATCTGCGCCACGTGGGCCAGTCCGTGGAGGAAGCTCTCTTTGCCGAAGCGTTTGCGGGGCACACGGTCAATCCTTTCCACAATTTCCTCAAAGTACATGAAGGACCTCCTAATGACGCCGGCGGCAAGCTTGACCTCCAAGGGCTTGAGGCCGCAGATGCGCATCACCTTCATGACGCTGTCCGTGACATCCTCGATGTCCATCTGACGGTACTCGGCTTGCATCTTCTCGTTCATCTCCATGCAGTCCGGCTGCCCCGGCTTGTGGCACTCGCACTTCGGCGCCTGCGGCTTGGAGGGCGTCGTCGCCGAAAACATTCTTGCTGAATTTTTGATACTTTTCAAAAACAAAACTAGCTGAGAGTAATTTGAGACAAGCTCCTTGTTGGAATATATAATATATTTGTTCCAAATAATATCGACCACTTGAGGTAAATAAAAAATATTTATAAATACATCGTTCAGGCAATAGTAATGGAGAGGTCTGATAATTAAATAATTATTTATAATTGCACTGCCGCCGGTTGCGGTTCAACCGAGTGAATTCCACTGGGATTGGCATTGGCGGATCAAGGCTGGAACTCGTCATGGACGACAGGTTTTCCCGACAAGAGCTGCAACGATGCCTCGTCGAGGAAGGAAGCTTCATATTTATCCCATAAGCAGCTCGCATGGCGATGTCAATATTTGTTTACCCAACAATCTCCAGCATGCTTGCCGCCTGATTTACTTCTGTTAATTCGAAATACTTTTATGATGCATTCTGGGCGGAAATGCACTGGGGACAAGATACACATTTCAACGAGGGACAGAGCTGCAGCGCCAAAACAACAAACAAAAAGGGAGGGCCTACGGATCTACTCCTAGGGCTCTCTAGATGAAGACATAGGAAAACAATTATGGGGGAACACCGAATGTAAGATGCTCTACAACAAATTTATTGAATCATTGATCAACCAGGGGATTTTTACCTCTATTTTGTGCCAGTACAATTCCACTAATGATCTCTAGATTATTTAATATTACAAAATTCACTGTTAATTCAGAGGAACAATATAAGCGGTTGCCTTTGTTAATTAAGATAACAGCTGTCATCACTCAGACTAATTGTTTCACAGTTTAGTCTTCATTAAATGCAATTTCAATTGAATATGGGGGACTTTAAGGTACTAGTACTTATACCAACTTATAAATAAACATAATGCCTAAATACCTCGCCTAGTTACTGTCATTTTTGACACAACTCAATCGAGGTGCCAGGGTCCGGCGCAAAAAGTGAATCAAAGTCTGAACAAATATTGTCGTGCGGTCGTGACAAATATTTACATAGTTGGCGCGCCATCGATTCCTGCCGGGGAAGGTGCCCGAAAATAAAATCAAATGAAATGAAATGAAAATACCATCGAGGCTCTGACTGAAACAAAACGAGCAGCTCCGGAACGGAACGAAGCGAACGGGAAATGCGGGCACATTGACAGTGCGGGCGATTGATTTTTCCTGTATTTCAGTTTTGGGTTTGCTTTTGAATTTGAATTTGGATACTCTGCTGCCAGCCGAGGGTCGTTTTCCGGGGCAATCTAAAATTAATGCATTGCAAATAGATGGCTCTGCAGTTGTCAGACACGCGGATAGACAGTCGAGGCGAGGCAGGGACCCGGGGATGGGGCGTCGTCACTCGAGACGGACAGAATGAGTTTAATTGTTGACCTTAGCTATTAGCCCCTGTCAAGGGGGTTCCTTTCCCTGGGAGTTCCAGTCGGAGTTCCCCCCCAGTCTTAGCATTGTTTCTCTGCGGAGTGACACATGTGCCCATAACATATACACTTCTTTGTGCCCTCGCAATTTATATGCAGAAAACACCACGCACATTTGCAAAAGTTTCTTAGAATCCACTTCAGACGCTCGAAAACGCATTGGAATGCAAAAGGCGATGACTGACAATCGGAGTTATGCACAGGGAGAAAATATGTTGGGTTTGCTATAAGGTAAAAGTTTTTAGGAAAATAATTCATACCCTGAAGTTTTCCAAGCTAACATCAAGGTAAAAGCATTTAAATTTCCTTGCAAACCCTGTAACAATTATTTAATATATTTATTTAAATTTTATAAATATCCTTTATTTTTCCCCGTGTCGCCTTCCAGAGTTTCTTTGTCGGCTCAGGGCCCTAAGATTTATACTCGCATTTGTTTATGTTGCAGCAGCAGTATTGTTTTTGATTTCTGCTCTCGCATTCCAGCTCATTATTATGGCCTTTGCATCGCTCGCGTGTGGAATGCATCAGGGAATATCTGAAAATGAGCGTATATTTTATATATACACTGGTGATCAAGGCAGCGATTTGGCGTCATCTGAAGTGCTGGTAATTCGCTGTTAAGGGGATGTACCACCGGCCTAATCTATCGGGTTATGCTAATTGGAGCGTATTACAAGCGGGCTTTCGAGTCGACTGGGGGTCTATACTAACATTTAGTATAGCTACTGACGTTGGGCCTGATAGATACTAGTTCACGATGCTACTTGTTATACTCTTTATAATGGTTTTGCCTGGCCTGAAGGGTTTACCTACACCAGCACCATCTCAGTTACGTAAGTAGCGATCATAGGGAATCGAAGTTCAACTACCTTACTTACTATTATTATACAGATTATTATTATTATTTATTATTGTTTATTATTGATATTTTTTATTATTATAGCTTCCCTTATTAAAAAGTGTCACTTCAGCAACGATTCCTGTCTGATTGACAGCTTTAACAGCTTTATCGAGGTCTTTGCCAGAGGTATGCCTAGGCTGGGCTTCAAGTCCTTTGACAAATTTCCCCTTCCCGATATTCCCGTGTACAATTGCTCCCACGATCGTCCCATTTGGATGTCCTTCATCCTCAGGAATCCGGTGTTTAAGGGCCTGGAAAATGCAACGGTGTATCGAGTCAAGGGATTCGACCGAGATCCCACCAAGATGATTAGGCTCAAGTACAGAATACCACGGGTCGAAGTCGAGGGCTTCTTCTACTACCAAATAAAGGTAGGGTTCTTTGAGACCAGTGGTTCTGGCCCCATAAAGTTTGACCTTCAGAACGCCCGCTTCACCACCATCTTCAAGGTGTACATTGAGTTTCGAAAGGAGAAGCGCCACCTGAAGCTGTACAGCTTTGAGTCTCAGCTGGAACTGGACCGTATGATCTTCCTGCTGGACAATCTCTTTGCCGACAACTCGGACCTGACGTTTGCCATAAACAAGGTACTTAACACTCACTGGCTGGAATTCTGGAACGAACTCGAACCAAACTTCATACCTGCCCTCAGTAGAATGGGCGTCAATAGAACCCAGGAATTCTTTGATCACTTTTCCTATGACGATTTATTCCTAAGAGATGATGAACAATAAATGGCACTTGAACTGGAAACTCATCTAGACCATTCACTTTTATTAATAGACGATTGCAAAGTGGAATAAATTCAAGCGGGAGACACATTGACATGTTGTTTTAATAACAATAAATTAGAATACCATTAAGGGGTCATTGGTTTTGCCAATTACATGTCTGTGTGGAATATATCTGTATGTAGTGATTAATGCACGTCGAATTGCATTAAATTTGTGGCGAGTAAAGTTCTCCGATTGCAGTTCCTCAATGAATGCCACAGCCCCTCGATTCCCATGGCTGAGGCTTCCATTTATCACCCTTGATCTTGATTAAAAGTCCGCACCCGGACACGAGTTTTCCCCCCCAGAAGTCCCGGACAAGTCCAATTATAGACAGCCAGAGCCCCATGAAGATCCAGCGATCCACGCACTGAGTTGCTGAATGAAAACGAAATGAAAATGGAAGTGGATGTGGATGTGGAAATCATAATGCGAGCAGCGGCAGCCTATAACAACTGCAATAAAGACATCAACAGTTCGGGGCATCAAAGAGCTGCCTTGGCAAAAGCAAAAAAAAAAAAAAAAAAAAGAGGAAAGTAAAACCTAAAGAAAGGGGAAAATCCCCAGGCAGAGGGCAACTTATGAGATCTCCAAAAATAATATTAAAATTAGCAACCAGGCGCAGCAAATGGGCTGTTCTTTGCCTCGCCTGCACTGGCCATAAATCCAGATCCAGATCCAGGGGCGGCACGTCCTCCATCTCCCGGGGAGTAGATCAATCAGAGCTTAGTGCCAGTAATTAGGAATGATAAATGTTTGACTTGCAGCCGAAACTGAAGTGCAATATGGATGGCTTATAAATAAACAGGGCAAGGAGAACTGGTGTAAAAAAATGTCTGGAAAAATCATGGTGGAGAGCACAAAACAAAGGGCTAGATTGGAGGAAATTGGGGGAATTGATTGAGAGATTTATACGGCAACGAAGGGCATTTCTTTGTGAGATTTACAACTACCGAGCAGAGCCTCCTGAAATCTATTTCATAATTGTTTGCCTTGGCTTTCCTGCTGCACGCTCCCATGAAACCATATATACCTGCAAGCTTACCTTGCCGCATTCACACGCTCGATCCGATTCCAACCGGCAAACACAGACATCCTTCGGCCGAGGTAATAATGTTAGCGCCATATTTGACCGCTCTGTTGGCCTTATCACGCCAGGCAAGCTGGCCACCAGCTCGAGTGGCCACCACAAAGTTGCCCGACCGCAGCACAGTGGGCAAAGCTAGAAAGCACACGGGGTGAAATATGGTAAAGATATTATATATATTTTTATATTCAGACTGGGAATTATGGGTTTATTTGTCTTTTACTGAGAAGCTTCCCTTGTGGTTTTTTGAGGTCCAATCTCTTCCTTCTTCAGATATTCCCCATAATCTTAAACCCCGTCCCACTGTCAGCAGGTGCAATTGCCTGTGTGTCCCACTCAGGTTAGCTGCTCGTGGGATGAGCCCCAGGGCTGGCAGGTGCGGCTGGCATTTACAACATTTGCGGTCGGAGCAGGCATTTGCATTTTGCATTCGGCATTCGAAGGGGCCGCGGAACCGCACGGATGTGTGTCTATAACAAAACAATTAGAAACCACGGAGCCCGGGCCAGCGGAGGACTAAGTCCTCGGCGATTTGACGCTGATTTATGAGGGACGAGAGGCGGGTACGGAGGTGGAGACGGAGGTGGATTCGGAGCTACGGAAACTCAAAGACAGGCACGTAGCCAAGGGCAGAGGGCGGGGATTAGCCATCGACCAAAAGGCAAATAAAAGAAACTTGGAGCGCACATAAAAAGCCAAGTCGCTGGGAGTGGGCGTTGGGCGTTGGGCTCCGGGCTGCTTTTTGGGGGTGTGCTATATACACACATCTATGCGGTGTGTGTGTGGTTAGAGATGGTGTGTCTTCGTCACATCGACCACCCGTGGGCATAGTAAAATGCTAGTGAAACAATTATGCAATTACTTAATTTGATAGCCCAAGTGTGTCCGTGTATTTGTGTGTGACTATGCAGACGACCATCGAGAACACGCCCCCTTTCCACCATTCTCTGCTCGCATTACGTATACGTAGCGTGGCCCACGACGACTTTGCTTTGTGGCCAGTAATTGTTTTTACTGCCATTCTTGCACGCGCAAAAGTTGGCCAACATTTGACTCGCATTATCCACGGTTATGAGTGCGGCAGGACATTGTCCTATAAGTCCTGCAGTTTTTGTGGGATTAAATGCAAGCCACAACAATTAATTTCAGGACATGTGAGGGTACTTGCGGTAAGAACTATAGGGAATATAATTGTAGTAAGTACTAAATAATTAATTTTTGATATATAAGGTACTAGTTTGATTTGCCATATAATCATATATTTTACTTTTAAATAAATTTTGTAATTTTCCTTTGAGTTTCAACCTTGGAAAATCCCCAGCTCTTGCAGAAGAGTAACCCCAAAGATCTTTCTCCTTTCTTGTTAGATATTTACCTACTTTTTGGTGGATATTCCTGTCAGCTTTTGCGCTTCTTGAGTGCTTCGTACAACATCCGAGCTGTGTAATCACTTTGCCGGAGAAAGGGAACCAAATAAGTTTTTATTATCATGGCCCGAAATATGTCACAGCGAAGGGACACATGCGAGTGTTTCGCATTTCGTGTCTCGCCCTGCTGTCCCCCTTGCAGATTTCAACAACAATCAACACCTCCGACGCTCGGCAGGAACGGGGTGTACGCAAAGTGCTAAAAATTGCTAGAAATCATGGCTAATATAAATCATCTTGGCAAGCAGCTTTGCATGTTTAAGTGTCATACATAAGGCAGCGCAATATGAAAGCGCTCACGTAAGAGCAGGGAATAAAGGAGCCGGGCGGAGAGGAGCTGAGGAGCCGCTCATTCGCACCCCCGCATAATAAACACTTGGAGAGCTCTGCCTTAACCCTTTTTGACTTTTGCAAATGTGGATGCCACACCACCCACCCACACTCCAAGTTCCTCGCCCCAAAGAAAAGCACCCCTAGAAACCCACCTGGGCGCACCTTTCTGGGTTCTGTTTGCTTTGCTACTCAAGTTGTGTTTTGTGTTTATTTTCGTTAGGATTTACTAAAGCAATTTTCTTTGTTGTTTCTTTAAGGCAGCTCAGAGCCCAGAGCAAGCAGGAGCGAGAGTATATGTGTTCTCGGTCTGTGTAAACACACATTTGACATTTGCTATATTTTTTGTGCAAATAAATAGTTGAGGCAGCCCGAAAGCAAAACAGCTGCTGGCATATGTTGCCCTACCCTCTGGCCTTCTCTGTTGTTTACCTGTGCAGGTGGGCAGCACCTCTCCCGAGATTTATGCCATGTCAAGACATTTTTAATTAAGTTTGATTCAATTAGCAAGCGGAGGCTGCTGCAGCACAATTGACAGCAATTGAATTTGCCGTGCAAATAGGTCCTTCAGTTGCAGCCAGGAGCTTGATGTTGGAGGCTTTAAGGGACGCGAGGTGTCCTTCAGGAATTCCGCCCTTTTTGGATTATGCATCCATATCATGTCTGAGCGCCATATAAGAATTAAGTCATAATGCTTTCAAGCGCGTCTGTTTCAAATGCAAAAACTTGACAAACGCAACATGGCAAACATAAATAACCTGAACAAGCAGGAACCAGAAGGAAAAGCTATATAGCTATGGCACACACGTTTTTATGATGTGATGGAACAGCGGCAACAACAACAGCACCGACAACAGAGACAAGAAATACAGTAAAACTAACAACTCAGTCAAGTTGCCGGTGACATACGACAAGATCCAGGGGGGCCGAGCATTCGGTATTCGGGTGGGAGAGCCAAAGGAAAAACTCACGAAAAACAACACACAAATGGGAGGTAACGAGCGCCTACACAGGGAGAAAATGAAGTTGATAATAGGGAAATAAGTATAAGGTATGACTAGATATTAGTTACCAAAATTGTTTGATTTTGATTACTTAAAGTGCTAAAAGTTGTATCCTTTTGTAGCATAGTTTACCTTTTCTTATTCAAAGATATTTGAGATTAGCTTTAAACACTTTTCCCCCGGTGTATCCATCTCCTTCCGCCCTGCCCGCCCCCCTGCTAAATATTTTATTGCGAGCGGTGCTGGGGATTGTGAAAGGATATGTGCGATACAGGCGAAAAGAAATTGGAATGCCACACATACGCTGCTGACGAGCGGGACGGCGAGAGAAATTTAAATGACATTTACTCACTCAACCGAAGTGCAGCAGCCAGAGCGAGAGGACAAGGACGACGAGGGAGAGCGAGAGCGAGAGGGAGCAGCTTAACTAAATTGCATAAAATTTATTTAAATGACGGAGAGCAAGTGACGGGACTAGGGGCCGGGGCGTGGGGCTAAGGCTTTAAAACAATAACTATGCAATATATGTGCAGACACGACTGTTAGCATTCCACCTACGACACATGAGCAGGGGGTCCAGGAGGTGTAACAGCAGGCCGCCTAAGCCAAAGCCAGACATAACAGGGGCATATCCTTGCCAGGACCCTATGTATGATCCCCTCCTGCGCCTCTCCTGCCACATGCAAACTGTCGTCAGTCAGCTTAAATTTATTGCTTCCTTATGTTGTGCTGCGTTATGAAAATAAATACCTTAGAAAGAAGAGCCACACACCCTGGCCCCCTCGTAAACTTGAACTTTTTGCGCCCATATTTTATGCTGCTCCCTATGAGCACTTTTAAAATATTATATTATATATATATATTTTTATATATATTTTCTGTGCCTCGAACTTTTGAAATTTTTGTGCAGTTTGAGACTGTAAATTTTGTTTGACTTTTCGGCAGTCCTTGAATGCGATATTGCCCAAACACCAGCTCATCCGCCAGCCTGATCCCACATACCGCCCGCATCCTGCCAGTATCCTTCCAGTATCCTACATCCCCATGAGTACCCATGGACGTGCCACTGAGCATGACCTCGTTTTTAATGGCGTTTGTTTTGAAGCGGGATTT